TGTGAGTTGAAACTAAAAGATGTAAGCCTGTCAAAGCAAGGTGCTGGAGAGCCAAGAATTGAAGGCTTGAAAAGTGGGAAGGTAAAAGTGAAGCTGGAACGGGACGGTAAGAGTGAAAAAGCGTAAGAGGGGTGTCGAGTTCAAATACTTTGCTTTGTTTTCCCCTCGATTCACCTAACCTACCCACACTTAATTTACACTCGTTGGCCTATCGAGTACTCTTGCATTTGGTTGGTTGCAGTGCGAACATCAATCGATTTAATTGTACTGTGCGTGTTTGCCGCAGTTTCCACCATACATACGTTCCGATGCTACTCTGGTGTGCCGCTTTTCCGGTATACAACAAGTTGGCATCGAGGGCAGGAGGGAATAATATATGGGTAGTCTTGAGCAGTAGCATCCAACACCTATCCACGTTGTTCGATGCAGCAGATAGGGGGCCGTTGATTATCCTCCGGGACGGCCAGAGCATCTCGAAACCATTTGCAGAGAAATTCACTGTATTACGTGGGGCATCACCCTCTCAGGTTGTCCAGGCGTAGACAGGAGAACGATTAGGATAACCAATGCCTTTAGTTTGAAAACCTGTCCGAAAGGCATCGTGTTTGGTATTGGGCTAGAAGGAGTCCGTTTTAAGGAATAAGGAGCCACCTCATTCCAACGCCCAAACTGGAGGACCAGGAGGCTGCGTTTGTCTGGCCTCTAGCCATTGACCAATCTGGTATAGGTCGATCTCAAGGTTCAAAAGAGCACAACCTAGCATAGCTCAATATATCTAAAACACGCAAACCATCGCACCACGTTAAGGTCCAGCCTCATTGCGATAGACATGCGGTAGATGTACGGAAGGCTATTTCTGTTTCTCAACTCAACTGCGTTTCGCTATACCTCTCAGCTGGGATTTAAGTGGTACAAATACGCAACAATGTTTCACCACCAAAATATTCGCATAGGGGTGTACAATTGGTAATTTGTCATTTCCTGTTTACCTTCTATGCACAAACCAGTTTTGCGCTAGTTTTGTCACCACGGCCAAGCGCCTAGACAGCGGCCATTTACGTCATGATCATTGACCGAAGTACTCGGATTTGCTTCACTAACTTTCGACGGTGACATTGGTGCAGCTTACATCCTAGCCGCCAGTTGGTGTCCTCAGACATTAACATTCTCAACCAGTCATCGCGCGGGTGAAAAATTGTGGTCCCGCATGCCTACGTTTTTATCTACACCCACCCCATGTCCGATTGACTGACATCGGCCGAACAATGGGGCCACTAAACCACTGTGTGAAATCACAGCTGTGCCAGCTCTACGAATTTGACAGTGTAACAATCTGCTTCACTTCGAGACCAAACGAATTTTGGAACTATTCACGAACCAACAGGTAGTCTGAAAATATAGATACAGCGGCATGTCTGTTTGTTAAATTAATGAGCGCCTGAAGGAAACTTGACGCGTTCTCTCTTAACTGAATCTGTCAATCGGCCCGCTGTGTCGGAGCGAAAACGTCCATGAGACTGCGCGTAAGCTGTGCACAGTTGTACCTCTTCCCCTTTTGTGGGGCCACCTACAATGTGGGG